CACACACACACACACACACAAAAAAAAAAAACACACACACACACACACATACTTACACATACACACGTACATTACATACACATACATCCCCAGGCTCACTGGCGTACAAAGACCCACACTGCACCAGAGGCAGAGACGGTGTTGTACATCTCTTTGAGTGGAAATGGAACGACATTGCAGCAGAATGCAAGCGCTTCCTAGGACCTTACGGGTTTTGCGCAGTACAGGTAGGTTTATCCAAGACACCAAAGTTAATTCATGCATTCTGGTCACCCAAAAGCGGTTGAGGATGAGATGTTTTGGGGAATGCTTTGTTTTCACTAAGTGTTTTATGACACTTGCAGCATAATAGAAGATTAAAGGTGTTACAATAGAGTAACACACACACACACAAGAGGTGAAATGGGGACGATTAATGTTTGATAGGACAGAATGAGCAAACCACACATGGGCACCCGAACAACAGCCACTGGGGGACTCAAAAAAAAAGAAGCAGAATTACGTCATTCATACCGATAATACTTCAATTATACTGCCTGCCTGCATAAACTGGAAAAGACAGTCAATACTATTTACACTACTATAATGGTATGCAAACTTGCGTTTAAGACTTGTATATGCTTGTTTTGTTTGGTCAGTTGCAGACTGAACATGTGTTTCCGTAGGTCCTTAAAAAATTAAAGTCAGTAGCCTATTCATGAAGTGCCTGGTCTGAAACAGTCATCAGTGATTATGGCTCGACATTAATTTTTCTGCTCGATTGCTCTTTGAAAAATCCCGAAAACCTATAATAATAAAAAATTCTATTGTCCTGGGCTTTCCCTGTTACCTGTTATTCTGTTCTAGTTCTTTTTGGTTAGTTGTTCTATTTCTGCTCCTGTCTTTTTAACCTTTTGTTTTCTCTAGTTAGAAGTAGATATTGAAGACCTTTATCTCTATTCAAGGATTTAAAAAACGGTGACCTTTGAAAGGACTTTTTGTTGTGCATTGAAAATTTGCTCCCTTATATCGGCAACGGGAAAGCTGCTGTAGTGATGTGTGTTTTTGTATGAGGACTAACCTTCCGATGTGAGGAGGCGGGCTATGCGTGCTGAGATTTAAAGAGGGGAATTGGAGGGGGAAGGTTATTGGTAGAACCAGGTAACTCCTGCAGATACGTACCGATGTGAACATTCGTACACTCAGACCACACCAGAGCACCGCCAAGCACCCGCTGGGCAGAGTTTCGGCATTCATACAAATATAAGTGTGCACACTCAAATGTGCACAATACCGTCTGTAGTGTAGCGATACAGCACATTGTCGTCGCAAGCAGAAGAACGGAGCTCGATTCCAGTGTCCGGTAAATTATTTTGAATATCTCCGTCTTTCTGCTTATATGTTATTTCACTCTCAACCCGGGTTGTCCCTGACAGGCACAGCCAGAGCCCCTTCCTAATTGTTCTATATCGTATCGATAGCAGTGTCAAATACTTACATTTGAAACACAAGGTAAAAAAGAAATAAGCTTTCAAGTGGGCACGCATACGGGCACTCATAAAATAAACACACACATGCGCTCCCACTTGCTTTCATACGGTACTATAACTTTCGCAAGACAGATGTATCTGTTCACTCAAGTTTTATTTCATCACAATTGGGCAAGGGCTGTTCTGCTTCTTCTTCTAGACCTTGTTGATACTAGACGGTAGGGAGAAAAACTGAACGAGTGTCAGACAATTGATTTAACCAATCACGTTACTGCCTGGAGTAATTATGATTTTGTTCTAGACTTCCCCTGCGAGCGAGAACAGAGTAGTTACGTCACCGAGCCGCCCTTGGTGGGAGCGGTACCAGCCAATCAGCTACAAGATCGCCACGCGAAGCGGCAACGAGGATGAATTCCGGAATATGGTTAAGACATGCGCAGAGAGTGGGGTTAGGTGAGTGCGTCGTGAAGGATCAGCTTGCTTTAGTTAATTTTAAAACTTTGTCTGTCCTTCTATTTTCTTGGTAAATAAAGTATGCGACATGCTCTTTCTTTTTTGTGTGTCCTCGTGAGGCTTTCGTGTGGCATTCGTGGGGCATAGAGTGAAGGTATGGATATAAACACTTTTGACGTTCGAGAGATAGAAAATAATTCAAAATGGTGAATGTCCAACTCATTTCCTTTCACTCTCTACAATTCCGAACCCTCCCTCTCTCTCTTTAATAAAATATATTATAATAAGATGTTATCATATGATATGAAATG